TAAAAAAAAAAAAAAAACTTACTGACCCCAAACTTTGTAACTGTAGTGTATGTAACATTAAGTACTGCAATTTTTTTAATGAATTAAATATATATATATATATATATATATATATATATTGTCATTTTATGTTCAAATTGTTAAATAAAATCGGTTATATAGGTAAAGGCAGTGTGCTCCAATAGTTTTTAAAGACCCTTTTTTTCCCAACTGTTAAGAATTGGGATAAAAGTTAATGTTTAAGTGTAGTATAACTGAAATATTGTGCGTAAAATATCTTTATTTCATAAAAATAAAGTACAGATGTCCACAGTGGTCTCAAAGTCCCAAGTCATGCAGTTATTTTTAAATTAGGGTTAGAGTTAGGGTTTTTAAATATATCACAAAAAAATATGTCCCTGTTTTGCTGGGTTTTGCTTCCTGTAAGCTATCATGGGATGTTCCCAAAATTGCCATTAGGGTGCTCTAAACACGTACGGCAATTGGTATTCTAGCTATATAGAATTTATTATGTGAACATGAATGTACTTACTTTGTACATTATGTACATAATTTGTTTGGCTATTGAGGGTCACGTCACTTGACAGCTGTCCCCCCCACTTTTAAAATGGCTGCTACGCCCCTGTATGTAGGCTTCACAATTCATAAAGTTGTGTTCATTTGAAAAGACTATCATGATGAACTTTTGTCAGCCACAGAGCTTATTTTCTGTAATAATCTAAAAGCCAATAAAAAGAAATCCTATTGGCTTTTGTGGAAGGAACAGGGAGATGCAAACTTATAGGTTGGCCTACAAAAATACATCATTACTGCAGTGCTCTATGACTACTGGGTAAATTTACTTTAACAACATAACCCAATTATGCACAAATTAAGGAAACATTTTTTACACTCGATGGTGATTGGCAAATTTTTTTTTTTACCAACGGAGGCACGAGAGATCAGCTCTCCCCCGGCCTCCCCCTACCCTTCTATATCACCTAGCGGTTATAATTACATCAGTAGATTCGGCACATTCGTGATAGAAAAGCGGCGCTTTCACGTTATGGTATTACAACTGTGAAATTACAAACAAAAAAAATACACATTCTGAGACATGTCTCAATTCAACTGAAATGAATTGTGAATTTTATTAACATTAAATCGTCCTCCTCCCATTTTCACCTCAAAATTATGGGGAAGCTGTGCCTCCCCTGCCTCCCCCGACGAGCCGCCACTGGAAACTCTAGCAAACTCAAGCCTGGCTGCAAGGTATCTGAGGTCCTCACACAAAAAAGGACACCATTGGAACAGGACCATAACTGGAGAAGAACTGAAATATTGTACAACATGCAAAAAACTACAAAAATATAGTAATAAAGCATGAATCTTGAGAGATTTAGCATGTGTCTCCCTCTAAAAGCAAAGTTGTGAGTTATATGTGAGTTAACTATTTCAAAAACCATTACCATTGCCATTACCACATTCCCACTGAAAAACTAAGAAATGTCATGAACATTTTTAGTAGTGAAATTATTTTATTGATATCCAACACAATCTCAAAATAAAAATAAAACAAATCTCAAAATAATCATTTTAATATATTGAACAATCAAAGAGGTAAAAGCATGACATAGTAAAACAATAAGGCAGACTTAAACATGCAAGTTATGTATAAGTGGTTATACAAGGTTAACATCACTACTTTAGTCTTAAGTAACAGTTGGTATGCCAACTGAAAAGTCTCAAAACCCTACACTAGTGACTTTCCTGAGCAGTGATGTCTAAAACAGCAGACAGAAATACACTGTTTGGGGTGGGACTGACTACTGACCAATGACAGACCGGGATGTGTTTGGGGAAACCTGTTCGAAAGCAATCATTATGCAAATTCCATGAGACGCATCAAGAGGCACAGGAATTACATTTCATCATTTAGGTGTGCGAGTTGTTTTATAAAAAGAAAAAAAAAGAAAAAAGGTTTGTGACAGCTTTAAAGAGATACTGTTGAGATATTTCTCAAAGACACTGAGGATTCATAAACTCTGAATCCAGCATAGAGGGGTTCAGTGAATGTGGTGTTGAATGTGTGTAAGTGTGTGAGTGTGTGTGTGTCAGAGACACTGTAGAAGGACAGAGTGCCGATCGACCAGTCCAGACACACTCCTACTCTATTAGAGGGAGGTGAAGGTGCAATTAAGTCAGTTCTGTCATTATTGTGACAAACAGTGTAACTGTTATCAGAACAGAAGAGACTCCAGGATTTGTCATTCCATCCAAAAACACAGTCACTTACTCCTTTCCTGCTGATTCCTTGATCAGATATAACTGCAGTACAAGATTATGATATGCATTATTTGAATGCTTGGCCAAAGAGATGTGTCTTTAATCTAGATTTAAACAGAGAGAGTGTGTCTATATGTCACGGCTATGCCAGTCACTCTCCCATTCCATTCAACCTCCCAGTAACAGCGTTCAGTGAGCCTCTCTCCACACAGTACCTGGGGATATGTATCAAATCTCTCTGGAAGATCAGGATACGACTGCGGTGTTTTCATATGCATCACCTTCCTGTTCTCATCAGACAGCATGAGTTGAGTGTTTACGGTGTTTGGATCCAGTGTCAGATCACACGCATCTGAAAACAAGACAGATGATACATAAATGGATCGTTTTAGAGCTGTGTGTGTGTGTGTGTGTGTGTGCGTGCGTGTGTGTGGCCTACATTTTCTCAGTCCTGGTGTGATTCTAAAATTGCCTCCATGATTCAAACTAGAAAGAGACAAATATAAAGAACAAATTATAAATGTTTGATTATTAAAACTGCAAGAAGTAGCTGAAATATCAGTGAATACATGATATTAAATGTATCTAAATGAGGCACTCAAAATGTGAAATGAGACAAATTCAGGATTCTTGTAAGAAACTCTAATAAACTCTAATAGCTCCAGAGTCCCAAAGATAGATCAACTCAAAATACCAACAGAATCCATAACACTAAACTTAAAAATATGTTGTTTAAATAGATATCACGTTGCCTTCTACTGTCAGGCCCCCATTGGACTGTTTGTTGTGTTTTCTCCCTCTTGTGCCCATATTTGGTTATGTTCCTTTTCCTGTTCTCGTTGTGTCATTATTAGTTAATCATCTTTACCTGTCTGTTCCTCATCAAGCTCCCCTGTATTTAGTCAAGTCTGTGCTTTCTGTCTTTGTCCAGTGTTAAAGTTGAGTTGTGCGTGTGATACCTGCCTACCTTCTGTGGATTCCTTCTGTGTGGATTATATTAAAGATTACTCTTCTTCATCTTCGTCGTGCATTTCTCACACCACACCGTGACATCTACGATGGGTTTGTATTAACCCAAAAACATAATCTATGCAAGTACACAAATGCAGGCACTGATACTTGGCCAAGTATTTTTTTATGTTCCTCATTAGTCAGCTCTCTTTGTTGCTACCTAATATATGCCTGAGGCAGTTTATGACACAATAACTGTCATTAAAAGTCTAAATTGAACTAACTACTGTTTTAGGAAGACAGAAAATAAAACATGTTCAATGGTGAAGTCAAAATAAATAAATAACATTTGCTATACATTTTTTACTGTTTACTACATCTTCTAATGTAAATTTACATTGTACAAATTAATAAACCTTGGACAAGTGTACCTTAGAGAATAGCTACTGTTTTAAAGAGAAAGGGTGGTCAGCAAGTATTGATTTGATTTGGTTTAATTAATGAACACATACTTCTGTCTGAAAACATCTTTACAGCAAGTGCATAAAACTTGCAATTATTTTCATATTTATTAATTTGTTATGCAAATTAGATCACTCATTTGATATTATCAGTATCAATGATCTTAATTAAAACCCCATTACTGCCCCACATACTTGAGTATCTGCAGTTTATAGTTTGAATCCTCCAGTTTGTGGTTGAGCAGCTGGACTCCTGATGGTCCTGGGTGATTGTAGCTCAGATCCAGCTCTCTCAGGTGTGAGGGGTTTGAACTCAGAGCTGAAGACAAATAACCACAGCCATCTTCTGTCACCATACAGCCTGACAACCTACAGACACGTATCAAAAGTAAACAGGGGTTGAAATAAATCGTATATCAACATATGAATATGACAGTCAAACCTCAGTTTTTCCAGCTGACAGTTTGGACTCTTCAGTCCATCAGAGAGCAGCTTCACTCCTGAATCCTGCAAGTCATTGTTACTCAGATCCAGCTCTCTCAGGACACAGTTTGAGGATTGTAGAGCTGATGACACAATTTCACAGTCCTGAGCAAAGAGATTACAGCCAGAAAAACTGAAAGACAGCAGCACACAAGAGAATTCAATTTGTAACCTCACTCTAGAACTGGTATTTTGATAATATTACATTCATTCTTCTAATATTTACATTTATAAACACTCTTTGCTATAACATGATTAAACACTCACAGAGATTTTCTGCAGTGGATCACAGCTGGTATCAGTCGTCTTCTTCCCTCATCTGATGTGTTGTATTTCTTGAGGTCCAGCTCATAGATTGGACTCCAGTGAGACGCCCAGCAGGAACCGCAGGAACAGATCCAGCTGTCCATGCTCACGCTCAATGGCTTCATCTACTGCTCCTTTAAGCAGATTATGCATTGGAACAATAACCTTAAGTGTCTCCATGGTGCTGTTTAAATAGCAGTAAAATACATGGAAAGCAGCTAGAAACTCCTGAATGCTCAGATGAATAAAGCTGTAGACTTTCCTCTGATGAATCACAGATTCCTCCTTGTGAGATGATTCTGCTGGCTTGATGCTGCTCACTGATTCTCTTCCTGAAATATTCCTCCTTCTGAGGCTCAGTGAATCCCTGAATTTCTGTCAGACGGTGGATGTATTTGGAGGGGATCTGATTGGCTGCTGCTGGTCTGGAGGTGATCCAGATGAGAGCAGAGGGAAGCAGCTCTCCTTTCATGAGCTTTGACATCAACACAGCCACTGATGAAGTCTCAGTCACATCACAAACTTTCTGAGCGTCTGAAAACATCAGTGTGATTCTGCTTTCATCCAGACCATCAAAGATGAACACAACTTTACACTCCTCATAAATCTGTGAGTCCAGATCTTGAAGTTCAGGATGAAAGTCCAGCAGAAGTCTGTGAAGACTGTACTGATGATCTCGGATCAAGTTCAGCTCTCGAAATGGAAGCACAAACATGAAATCTACATTTTGATTGGCTTTTCCCTCGGCCCAGTCCAGAATGAACTTCTGCACAGAGACGGTTTTTCCGATTCCAGCGATGCCTTTAGTAAGAACAGTCTTGATCTGCTCTTTCTCCTCAGATCCTGCTTCAGCTGAGGCTTTAAAGATGTCATTGCAGTAGATTGGATTGTCTTGTGAGTGTTGTGTTCTGGCTGTTTTCTCCATCTGTAAAACCTCATGTTCTTCATTCATTCATTCACTCTCTCCCTCTATGATGTAGAGCTGTGTGTAGATCCTGTTCAGGAGGGTTTGATTCTGTTTGAGTTTGGTTCCCTCAAATAATCTCTCATATTTGTTCTTCATGCTTGTTTTGTGCTGGTCTTTGACTCTTTGTAGTTCATCATGTACTGGTTTATGCAGGTCTCCAGTCTTCTCCTGCAGGTGAGCAGAATGAGCAGAAATTGTTCCTGTCATGACTCTTTGTGTTCTGGATTTCTTTCTGCACTGAGGACAGTCAAAGTCTTCTGATGGTCTGGACTGATCCCTACAGAAACTGATGCACTGTCTGCAGAAACTGTGTCCACAGGTAATAGAGACCGGATCTCTCAGAAACTTCTCACAAGCTCCACATCTGGACTGATCCTGGATCAGATCGTTTCTCAAACTGTTGAGTCAAATCAGTTTTGAAGCACAAAAAAATAAAAAAATAAATAAACACAAATGCAGAGTACAAGAATTATTTGCACCAGATAATGTTGTTAGCACCGGCTCAGCTTTGCATTGGTAATTATGGCTACTATGACTAATCAATAAATTAAAAGTTGACAATAAATTTTATTATTAATCAGTCAGAGCCCTACACGTGAATTTTCCTCTGTGAATTGCTTACCTTTTATGTTTATACTATTACCTTTTAGAAATTCATAAAGTATATTTAAAAAAATTTTTGATACTAAGATCAAGCAAGTCACCAATAAACTTTCAAAAAAAAAAATCACTCAACAAAATTAAAAGGCACATTGAAATCAAAATTCACTTGTACATGGTGTTTGCGTATAAATGTGTCTTAGCAGTGTGTGTACACAACCACCCTACAATGATAAAAATCCATTCACTACTTTGTTTAATCCCCCAAAAACCTAAGCAGTCTCAATTATCAAGCCATTTTGATTTTCTGAGCAATATGGCGTCATATTACTTGGGCCCCACCCACGGCTGCTGACGGACTGTCCTGTATTAGCATATCTGTGCCCTCAGCCAGTTGTACGCGGTCCGCCATTTTCTTTGTGCTCGAGCAGCTGTAGTGGCAACAATGTCTCGTAAGCAGTGCAGGTGTTTTGTCGTTGGATGTACAACTGAACAAAAGAGTCTTCATTTTCTCCCGACATCAGAAATATAGCAAATAGAAATAATCCATGGAAGACAGGGGTGGAGTGAGCTGAGCTCATTAGCATTTAAAGAGACATACACCGAAACGTGTGTCGCAGTGAACAGAGCTGTTTTTAACAACGTAAAAAAGGGTGTTGTTTTACACAACCATTGAGGAATTTTAACCAAAGTATGTTGCAGACCTTTCATGAAGACCCCAAAGAATCATATCAACCTGTGCAAAATGGGCATCTGATGTCCCCTTTAATAAAAGCATTCAGCCAATCTCGATTTATGTTTTTTTGTGAGATATTAAGTATCAGTGTTTTGTCTTACCTCAGGTCAGAGGTCACTGCTCCAAAGCTGAGATCCGGAGGCTTAAGTAAGGATACATGACTCTTCATAGAAACATAGCTTGGTTCTGGAGATGTGGTTTTGGGATTCTTCAGGCTTTTGACATCAATCAAAGGATTCAGTCAATCTCCATTTATATATGATATAAGGTCAGTTCTGTATCTGTGTATTGTCTTACCTGGGGTCAGAGGTCACTGCTTCATCACTGACATTCGGAGGCATAACTATAGATAAATTACTTTTCAAAGAGACACAGCTGGGTTCTGGAGAGGGAGCAGTGTACCTCTTCTCCATTTTCTCATTCAGACTCATTTTAGAGGCAGCGTCCTTGTCCTCCAGCTCCTCACAGAGATTAGCTTTAGATGTAGGGCTGTGCTGTTCTTCATTCCTCTATACAAATGGGCCACTATTAAGCATTTATGGAACACATTTGAAGAATTCACATTTTCCGTAAAAAGCACAATAAACATAACATAAGTGGTGTGTCATGACGTCAGTGAAACTTTTTTGATTTTGTTTTGACCAATAAAAGAAGCTCTAATTTTAAATATTTTTTTATTAATGCATTCAGACTAAATGGCTGTGAATGTATTATAAATGTTTTAATATAGTTTAGCACAGGTTTCTTGTTTTTTTTATATATTAATTTAACCTACTATTCAAATTTGTATTCATAAATATATTTATACACTGAATATGCAAATGAATTCAAGGCCACTTGGCAATTTTGAACTGTAATTTTTTTTTCCTTTTCTTTTTTTTTTAACAATTACAAAAACACACACACACATATTATATATACTGTATGTATATATATATATATATATATATATATAATCTGAACACAACAGTAAAAACATCTGAGTGTAAACTCTTCAGACCCGAAAACACACACACACACACACACACACACACACACACAATAACGACCAGAAAAATGTGTTTACAGGGCAACATCAAAAAAATGCATTAATAGCTAAAAAAAAATAAATAATAAAAATTTTACAAAAATTAATAATAATAGTATAATAAAAAGATTTCACACCTGTTCCTGAAGGGCAAATACATAAGTAATAAATTTAATAAGTGAACAAATGCAGTGTACAACAAATAGATTGCTGTGGTTAAATAAACTCATGTTCTCCGTATGACAAAGTCTTTCAAGAGGAACACACAGATGCCGCACCCACTACACCTCAACAATAACCAAAAAATGCAAAAAATCTCAGCACTGGCAGTGAAATGAATGCAACTGATTTCAGCCCAACAAATAATAAAAATTTTACAAAAATTAATAATAATAGTATAATAAAAAGATTTCACACCTGTTCCTGAAGGGCAAATACATAAGTAATAAATTTAATAAGTGAACAAATGCAGTGTACAACAAATAGATTGCTGTGGTTAAATAAACTCATGTTCTCCGTATGACAAAGTCTTTCAAGAGGAACACACAGATGCCGCACCCACTACACCTCAACAATAACCAAAAAATGCAAAAAATCTCAGCACTGGCAGTGAAATTATGCCACTGATTTCAGCCCAACACTTTTACACAACCATTTTACAATCTACCGGTATTCAATATAATCTGGTATATTTTTCTGTAAGCTATAATATTACTTTGTCACTGTATCTTACTTTGTTGTCGCAAAACACATTCATGGGGCACATTGTACAATTTATAGACAGGTCAAACAAATCTGAGCCAAGCAAGTGAATTCCTACAAAAAGGGCTTCAGGTGGAAATATTTATAGCTTTAAACTGTAACATGTAGCTTTAAATATGTACTTACCATGAAAAATATCCCACTGTTCAATCTTGCTTTGTCCGCCTCTTTTCTTGCCGATGAAAGCTGAACTATCTTTCTGCTTTCACTTCCACTGGAGCGGTTCTACCTGTTCTACTTGCTTCACTCAGAATTCAAGGCGTAGCTGCATGAAGCATTTGACCCAAAAAGAAAAAAAGGAAAAAATAAATAAATACAGAGTTCAATAAAAACATGTTTCAAACATGCATGCTATTTGTTTTTAACCCTGCTTACAGGAGAAGCATTGGGGTTGTGTTCAAAGCACAAACTGTTAAACACATTTTATTAAAGACATCCAAATAGCATTTGGTTAACATTTAGCATTTAGCATTATTGCATGTGCTACTGCAAGCAACATTGTCAAATCAAATTTTACTCTAGCATTTTTACAGTTTTTACAGTTAAAAAGACAATAATTGTTTACAGTGCAAGCGCAAAAGTAATCTTAAAACAAAGATCACATGATTGCATAAATCACAAAAAAAAATCACATGATCAAAAAAAAAAAACTGTTGACCTATATACAAAATATATATAGCTACTAGTGAATTGAAAACAAATAGAATATAAATTAGCCTACTAGATAATTAATCTCAACGAACTAGCACCATTCAAAATTCAAAGGAAACATGACAGTGGTGATTCCGCATTCAGTTGCTTAGGTTGTACACAATCCATATAGTAAATCATATTTTAGATATTCATGCATTTATCACATCACGATTGGACTACTGTAATTCCTTATACCCAGGCCTTCCACAATCTTCACTGGCTCATTTGCAGATGGTCCAGAATGCAGCGGCCAGATTGTTAACTGGTGCAACAAAACGTGATCATATCTCTCCAATTTTAGCGTCGCTCCACTGGCTTCCGGTCTCCTTTAGAATTCAATTCAAAATTTTGTTGATTGTTTTTGAAGCACTTAATGGACAAGCCCCATCATACATATCTGATCTTATCTCATTTAATTCTGCTCCTAAGTCCCTCAGATCTGCTAATAAAGCTATTTTATATGTCCCACAGTCACGATTTAAGTTTAAAGGTGACAGAGCCTTTGCGGTAGCTGCTCCACGGTTATGGAATCAGTTGCCGCCTGACATTAAGAGTGCTCTGTCTAT